TGGTTGAAGAAATGTCTCACATAACCTGTCGAAAGTATGCAATTCTAGTTGTAAATGAAATAAGAGCTTTTGCATGTTCAAGATATTGTTCTAAATGTGTGTTGGTTACCCAGTGTGTAATAGTATTACCCAATGGATAATGGTATCATACAATGGGTAATGGTTTTATCCAATGTGTAAACACAAAGTTAACTAGACTTTTGGTAAAATGTCAGTTTATGTTTATCCAATCTGTAATAATATTATCCAATGGATAAATTTTTTTATTATCCACTATACAATAGATCTAATATTAGAAACTTGTGCATATGAAGGAATAAGACTTATGTGTTTTCTTTGAAAATATTAATATATGTATACATTTTCATAAATGGAACATAAACATGCATGTAAAAGTATTACCCAAAGGTTAAAAGTTTTATCTAAAATATATTAGATCTAGGACATTTGTGTAAAGTCATTGTCTAAAATGTATTTTGCTTGCATGACATGTAACCTCCTCCGAAAGTGTAAAATGAGTGAAAACTAGTAGAAAATGGGGTATGAACTCACCTTTTATGTTTTCCCTAGAAGATGGTATGAAGATGAAGTAAGAATGAAGTGACACCTTCTTGAAACTTCAAGATCATGTCTGTGGTTTTTGTTCCAAGAGTAAAAATGAGACAGCAAAAAGATGATGATAAAATGGAGAAGGATCTCGAAAATATGAAGGGAAACTTACCAAAAAGTTTTGCAAAACAGTTGCCAAAAGGCCTTGAACCAAATAGAGTGTTCTTGGAGAGTTTAAAGAGAATAAGAGTAAGATTGAAGATGAAATGGTGGGGAGGGAGGCCTCTTGGCCGAATTTATAGGAGAGGGAGAGAGAAGAGTGGTGGTGGTTTGCATGGGGAAGTAGCACATGTATTCTTTTGAATATAAAACTTAGGGTTAAGGCTTTTGGAATATGAAATTCAAGGTATGGTTTCTTTGATATAAAATAGAAGAATATCATGATTATGTTGGATATTAAGATATGGTTGGAAAAAGAGGATACATGCTTTGTCTTCTTATGGTTTTTGTAAAAACCTAGACCTTTTTAAAAAGTTTGACATTTTTATAAGAATGTGGTGAGATTTGAGTCATTTGTAAGGTTTAATAACCAATAAAAAATAATGCTATTTAATATTATTAACAATAATATTAAAACCCTATGATTTAATTGTTTTCCTAATTCGTTGTAGAAAATACGAGCGTTAAAGCATGTTAACTTTCGTTTTCTCATGACCTTTTCCGGAAAAATAACCGGAGTATCAAACTAAATACTAGGTCATATTACGTTTTACATGTTTATGGATTTTTGAACACATATACCTCATTTTATGAATATTACCCAATTGAAGATAATATTTGTGTGTTTTATCAAATCTCTAAACTACCGTAGTCTATTGATCGCAATTAAAGCGTTTATTCGATATTTGATTCAAAATAGCGTAAATAGTATTATAATATCCAATAATACATTAGGAAAGTTATGAAAATTACATTTCACTATTTTATTCTAATTTACGCTCTAGTTGACTTTTGTTGACCAAAATTTGACGGATGTCATAGGCACTCGTTTCATTTTACCAAAATCTAGTTTATAATGTATGAATATTTCGGATTGTAATGCATCCATAAAAGTTTTCACCCAAACTTACAAACACTGGAAGAGAATTTGGCTTCAAAAGATTCTTGGAGAGAACTAATGTAAATTTAGGATGTAGATTGAGTCTCATTTCGCATAACTGAAAATTTCACTATCTTTTATGAAATATATTCCCCATTGAAGCATGAAAATAAAGTATCATGAAAGGGGAGGAAACATGATTTAATGTTTCTTTACCCGCTATTGAAAACCATACTCCATCGTTGAAACTTGTTACTATAACAAACACCCACCGAGATACCTAAGTTGAAAAGGCAATGATATCCATAACTCTGAAATACCGAAAAACTTTGATATAAAAGGGGACATTGTGAAAAATGAAGTCCATGCCTTGTGATAGGATTCACAGGCCAAAGGTCTTTGGTTTCATTATTGAACAAGATTAAGTAACCACAAGTTAAGTTAATTAAATACGCTTCTTACCAGCAGTATAAGGAATGATGATTTTGAAGTCTCTTTGTTCAATGTCCTCGAGGTAGTAGTACTCTTTCACTTTTTCATTTGTTTTTGGTAGAGATAGATACATACATGGTGTAAAGTCCCAAATTCCAGAATAAAATTTTTATTTTTAATATGGAATAAACACTCATTTTTATAAAGTTACACTCAAGTCAAACCAATTATTCATAAACCATAATTCAAAACCAGAGTTGTAAGGAGACAATGCGGAATCTTAAATCATAATATTGCTGACGTGTGTCTACAATCTCATCTTCACAATTCGATAAGTACCTGAAAATATTTAATCCATAATTGCAAGCATAAAGCTTAATGAGTTCCCCAAAATATCACATACATTAGAGGATAATAATCAACTATGTGTTATCAACAACCCTATGACTAAATAAAGAAAACAATACACATACATTAATTAAAACAGATAAATAAATTTAAAACTAAAATAATAATAGTATACCTTCAAAAACTATAATAATAATAATAATAATAATAATAATAATAACAATAATAATAATAATAACAACAACATATTTAACAATGTATTTATATAAATGTTTTATATAATACAAATAAATTTTATTACCTCCGTATGACGTCTATCAACATATGACCTACTATTATGAGCAATTGTATGTGTAAGTTTGACCCTACATTCTTTACCCTTTTCCAGTTGATTCATATAGCCCTCGTTCAAAAAAGCTCATCGATCAACTCATTCCAAAGTGTGTCGTCTACATCTCCTAGTGGATTATTTTTGCTGTTTCCACATCCTCATATCCGATGACTTCGAAAAAATGATGTTTCTTGACATGTTTGTGTCATTTATATTCTCTTTGGCCGCCAGCTTTTATAGCTGATCGAACGCTTTCCCACAAAGGTGTATCCAGATAGCAATTAAGATCAAAATATGTCTGTAATAAAAAAACAAATTTAATTAGTAAAAGAAATATTTAAAAAGTATAAAAAAATATTTTCTACTTACTTTCATCTCAAGATACCTAGCTTCTTTGTATTCGACAACACATTACTAAGACTTATAATGAAGTGGTGTTGAACCAAAAAGTGACCCTTCCGAGAAGATAACAATTAGCTGTTGACCGAAGGTTGGTCAAGCCTGAAGTCAAGTGTCATCAGAATGTTACTTGTTCACGAGAAGTGGCGAAGCTCATAAGAAGTTGACGTTTGTTTTAGCGATAGAAGTTATTGCATGTTAGTTTGTGATGATTAGTGGTTATTATATGGATATTCCGTGGTAATCTAGTTGTGGATAAGTTATGGGTAATATATCTGTGGAAAATAATTACTTATGAATCTGGTTTTGTGGAAAATCATTACCCACAGATAAGGCCGGTGGGTGAAAGTTTATTTTGGCTAAACGATTAAAATCGAATAGAATTATCCGATAAAAACTATGACGCGTTTGATTTTGAGCATGTAGGATCCATAATAAAAAGTTGTTCTAAAGTTAAGATATTTTGAAATCCATATGGGCTATTTGAAATTCTATCGAGTAAATGATGTTATTATTAAAAAAAAAAAAAAAAAAAAAAAAAAAGTTCATTGAGCCCATAAGATCTAGGGCGGATGCGGTTGAAATATTTTAGAGTTTAGGGAAATTTTATTTCAGGTTACACCTAGCATCCTGCTGTCTAGATTCCAGTTGTCCACTATCTTCTTTTTCAAAAATCGTCTTTTTTATTTATTAAGTGAATAAAGAAAAGATAAAATATCTGGGACAACCAACTTTTAATCTACACAAATTTTATAATATTTGACTGGTCATGGGTTAGAGTCAGACTTTCTTCACCTCATGTGCTCTCTTTCGTTAGTTCCACTCCCAAAATCTCCCTGGGCTTCATGAATATAACTGTGGTAATCAATGAATTTGCAAAGACAAATTATATTCTAAATAGATGATCTATAAATATTTCGAGTTAATAAACAAGTATTTTACATGTATATTTCAAAATTGGTTAACTGATATGAAATGTAAGCAAGATCAGATAATTATGTGCTATTTAGGAATAATGGCAAAGGAGCTGATTTTTGATATGGTGGTAGATTTATTTTTTTTTTGGAATCGAAAAGTTTTTATGTTTTGTTCTCAAGTGGTTAAAAAACCCTTTAATTTCTATGTAATTGTTTTTTTCTCTCTAATTGTTTTTCTTCTCTAGCTCCTTGCTTTTAATAAAATTTTAACAGTTGAAATCTATAATAAAACAAATATAAAAGATAGTATATGAATGTGTCATTCTTGTTTGAAATTGTAATAATTAAATAGTTTAACTATTTGAGTGTGGCCAAATTATAAGTATTTATAAAATGATCATAAAAGATAATTTTTTAATATAACGTTTCAATTATTAAACTTAAAATATGAAATTACAATTTCTATCATTTAATACTTTTTATGTATTATATATCAATAAATATGTCTAGAGAACTGTTACATATAATTTCAATAATTTTTACGTAATAAAATATAGGTATTATTCTATATACTAGCTAGCTTTACAAAAACATGACAGAATTTTTCTAAAAAATAATCAATTTAATAAAACGACTTATTAACGTACAACTCAGTATTTGGCAACCCGATAATCACATTGTTAACTTTTAAATTCGTTTTGTTATAAGGAAAGTTTTAAAAGATGGAATAATTTTGACTCTTCCAGGTCAAACCTCTTGGGTGAGTAGCATATTTTAATATTTAATGCAGTCACTTCCCTTATCTGACTGTTCATCTACCTTCCGTTTTGACCTCTTTTTTGAACTCTATTATCTCCCATCATCTTCCATATAAACACCCATAAATTTCTCTCATTTTCTCATCATCCACCTTTAAATCTTCAAGATGCTGCATGACCCAATTAGGATTCCAGCTTGTTTCTCATCGGGTTCCGATGAACCTCACTCCACAACTGTTACAAAGTCCGGCCAGACCCTTTTCATGTCCGTTTACAAGACAAAACTCGCCGGAGACTGCCGTTGCATCACCATAACCTGGTTCAAACACTTGCTGCTTCATGGTTTATCGGTGTCCATTGATGGACCGGAGTCACACTCACCGGAGACTGATCAGTACACCTGCAAGGTGGAGCTAAAACCATGGTGCTTCTGGAGAAAACAAGGGTCCAAGAGATTTAGCATCGAGGGTAAGGCTCTTGATGTTTTCTGGGATCTCAAGGCTGCGAAATTTCATGGTGAAACTGAACCGATCTCCGAGTATTACGTTGCGGTGGTCTGTGATCAAGAAGTGGTGTTGTTGCTTGGTGATTTGAAGAAAGACGCTTATAGAAAAACAGGTTGTAGACCAGCTTTGATTGATCCCATTTTAGTATCAAGAAAAGAACATGTTTTTGGGAAGAAAAAGTTCTCAACGAGATTGAAGTTTCAAGAAAAAGGACGATTTCATGAGCTCTCGATTGAATGCAAGAACGGAAGCGGCGGAGATGGGGTTGATCCGGCGATGGAGATAAGAATCGATGGACAGTTGATGATCCACGTGAAGCACCTTCAATGGAAGTTCAGAGGTAATGAATCTATTCACTTCAGCAAAGTAAAAATTGAAGTTTATTGGGATATTCATGATTGGCTTTTTAGTCCTGGTTTAAGGCATGCATTGTTTATCTTTAAACTCTCTGTTCCGGCGACTTCTCCGGCGATATCAACACCATATTCTCCGTTGTCTTCACAGAGTTCTGGTTTAGAAGATTGGTTACATGAGTTTTGCCTCTTTCTATATGCGTGGAAGGTTGAGTGAGATTATAATATGTATCGAAATTGGTCAAAATCTCGAGATGATCTAGGTGTACTAATGATGTATATACAAATACTTTTGAATATGACGAGGCTTTATGAGGTTAAAAAGTAAACACAATCTCATCATCTTTCTTATATTGAACGAAATATTCAAGGTCACACTCATACAATATCTAGTTGTATATATTGGGATTTTGTTTTCAAATTATTTAGGAAGTTCGATTGTGATAATGATTTTTTCTTCTGTTTTATGGAAAATAGAACAATATGATAATATGATATAACTCATTAAATTGATGTTTCTTAAAAACAAGATTGTCATAACATGGCATGTGGGAAGGGGAGCACATTTATTATTAAGGTTATTTGTGTAGTAGCGGGGCCAAGAAAAGGCCACTATTTTTAGTGTCTGGTTACCCATGGAAATGGGATTCATCTTTATTCTTGCTTTTTGGACCACCAACTTTTACAAAGGGTTCAAAAAATAATAAAAAGGTAAAAGTGTAATCTCATGTGGGTGTAACACCACAAGGGAAGTTGGGAGTTGGGACACCTACACATATGATTTTCACTAATAAGTTATAACATCCTCAATGTTATAATTATTTTCAAGATACGTATCACGTTATTACCATATAAGCAATGTATAAATATGTATATAACAACCCAATATTTTAGATCAATATAAGTCTAAACTACAATACTATGCAAGTAATTTAAAATCATAACATCTATATAGTAAGAACTTTGAATGCTATAGGACATGTGTATATAAATTATTGTATAAACATATCTTTGAAAACCATACTCCTGTGTGTATATATATATATATATATATATATATATATATATATATATATATATATATATATATATATATATATAATATATATCATAAAATCTACATATGAATCATTAGATTATTCATCTGTAAAATGATTCACAAGAAAAAATTCTCAAAAAAACATCTCGATGATTCATTTATACAATGATTTTGTTGTTATTCACTAAAATTATCATAAAAATGAATTTTTTCTTAATTTACTTAAAAATGAATCATAAAAATGTTTTTTGGGAATTTTTTCTTGTGAATCATCTTATAAATGAATCATCTAGTGATTCATTTATTTTGTTCGTCAAAAAAATATGTAGAAAAAAACTTCTTACCTTCCTACCAAAAAAATTTCTTACCGGATCTATATCCTATATATAATTTTTTAAAATAAAATTTATATAATTTATCCGATCCGAGTACTCACTCCACCTGGACCGGATACTCGCTAGGCCCTAATCGGATTCCTTGGGAATGCCTAGACCGAATAATCACTAAAGACGGATTTGATGGAAAAAATGATGACAGGTGGTGTTCGTCTGGCAAGGATTATGGAGGAGAATTCAGGTCGACGAGATATGGAATTTCATATCTAGGTGAAAGAGGTGTCAATCAAGATTTTTTGGTCGAAATTCGATGAATGGTGGTAAATTTTCATCTGGTTAAGGAAAGAGAGATGAGGGTTAGTGTAGGGATACGTATATGGTTGGAAGCGAACAATTGTGGCAATCAGAGACAATGTGTTAGTGTTCTTTAGAGTGTGTACGTGTTCTTGAGAGGGTGTGTGTGTTCTTGATAATGTGTGTTAGTGTGTGTGTATGTTTTTAAAAGAGATATAAGTTTGTGTGTGTGAGAGAGAAAGAGGGTTTAAATCATAAAAACCTTAATATAAATATAAATATAAAAAATTGAAGAACAAATATGAGAGAGAAAGAGAGAGAGAGAGAGAGAGTTCTTGTATTTTTCATTAACTAAAAACTTTAGTATAAATAAAAAAAAATTAGAAAAACAAATATACAAAAGTAATTATTTTTTCAAGTTGTTACGGACAAAAACAAAATAGAGTATTCAAAATTGAACCAACAATAAACCATTAATTTTTTTTTAAAGATATATATTTTTTAAAATCATAAAGACCTAACGTGTTTTTTAATCTTCTTACTAATGGATCACTTATGCAATGATAACTTAGGCCTGCCAATCGTATCTTATTCGGGTTGGCGGGTCGCAGGTTGGTGGATCAAAATACAACAACTCGAACACGACCAATTTAATTATACAGGTCTTGGATTGGAGGGTTTGGAACATAAACCCATATATGACCCGTCAACCCACTTATTTATATAATTTTATAGGCTGACAGGTTCGTGAGTCAGATTTGGGTTTGTGGGTTCGTAGGTCAGATTCCATAAATAAAATTGATAAATACAAATGAATAAATTCTTGATGCAAACATATCCGAATTTTAGACACTTAAGTCTTAAACATCCAAATGAAAATTAAAAAAATTCCTAGAAAGATGTTCAAACTAAAACATTAATACAAACGCTAAACAACAAACGTGTTGCACAGGTCAAATGGTTAGTGACATCCTATCCTAGTGTATAAACTGTATAATACTTAAGTCTTAACATATTAAAAAAAATATATACTTTTTTATTAAAATTATAAATGGGTTGGCGGGTCAACCCATATATTTTTTGAGAAACTCATATATGACGTGTTTAATAAACGGGTTGGCGGGTTTGCAGGTTGACGGGTTGAAAAACGCAACCCAAACCTGTTTGTTTTCGTATCGTGTCACAGGCCGTATCGAGAATTGATAACCTTAATTTCCTAACAACATTGCAAGAGGATTTTGATCCTAACGTGTTTTTTACTTGAAAGATGAGCTTGTTTGTTAGAAATGAATTCTTTTACTAACTAGAAAAGAAACCCCGCGTTGTGGGGTTAGAATCAGTAAAGGAAACTACATAAAAAGTCGAATTTATTAGCGTAGATGGGAGCAATGACATAAGCTATGGTTTCTTTTTGATTTGTTTACAGTTTATTATTTCTCTTTTTGTATCAGGTCCAACTGTTTAATATGCTTTTTTAGTATATATTATATGCAGTTTCTTGAAAAAGAAATGGACAAAAGAACTTGTAAACATATGCCAAAATAGCAATGTACTTTCATATAAATCATGTGTACATATTCACTAACAAAAGCATATGCAAATGATTAAAATTTCATTCTAAAATTTAATTTTATGCATATATTTCAAGTTCTTCCCAAAAAGATTAAAACCACATTTATAAAATATTCAGTAAATATCATTGTACTTTTCGAAAATCTGATTCATCCTGATTTTCTAACAAATAAATATGAAAATAGTTGAACTGAACCATTTCTGAAAACTTTGTAAACATGGAGCATTAATGTAAAAGGACTTTTATTGTAAAATTAATCTTTTTAACTTGGTAACCAAGCTTTTTACAACTTGCAGGTGAAACTTATTAGAATAATCCCAAATACAAACTTCCATTTGAAAAATCCTGAACCCATGAAAACTTATTACAAGAATCCCAAATACAAACTTCCATTTGAACAATCCAAGAACCCATGAAAACTATCCGAAATAATGTTTTCCTAGTAACCAATCATGCACATGATTGGAAAATAAAACAGTTGGTAGTGTTTCATCAATAATTAGAGAAATAATAATAAAAATCATCTTTGAGATTAAAACACCAACTTTAACAGTATTTGTTAGAAGACAACTTCCACACCTTTTCCATCTGTAAAGTTTGAGAATCCTACCAGTAACGTCTTTATAAGTTCTCCCATTCCTATTAGCTGTAACTGGAAATAAATCAATTACGAACCCCAAAACGGAACTACGTGAATAATATTGCATAACTATTATTATGATAGAAAAAACAGCCACAAGCCTGGAAAATCATCCGAATCCAAATCTCCATACACAATTAATGTTGAAGTATGCGCCTAAAATATAACATAAGAGGAGCAGAAATAAATAAATAAATAAATAAATCAGTGTTTGATTATGGGATACTCATATGAAAGAAAAAACATTCGCATTTAATTCAATGAAAGCATAAACTCTAAAATGTTTATACCTTGCGTATAACAAAGTAACATCCACTTGGCTCAATTGATCCAAATAAATCTACCTTCAAACGGCACCATTTTAACTTATTACAACACTAGTTGTGAAACCCGTATATTATACGGGTTGATTAAAACAAAATGTTAAATAGAAACGATTAAATGAGAAGCTTATTTGAATTTAAATTTGAAATAAATAAAAATTATGAGAAAAAAAACTTACAAAAAATAAATAAATTAAAATTATTGTTTAGTTATCAGACCCGTATACTAAACAGGTTAATTCTAACAAAATGTTAAACACAAAGGTTTAAACTGTAAATTTATTTGAAATTGAAATTGAAATTTAAAATTTAAAATTTAAAATTAATATCATTATGGTAGGTTTAATTTATGAAAACTAATTAATAATATATTAGAAATGGAAAATGAAATAAATGACAAGTGGAAAATAAATATATCTCTAAATTATGACAAAATGACATGTGGCAAATTGAATGAGAGAAGGACATGTGGCAAAATCATTCTTATTTATTAGGGTAGTTTAGATGCGAAGCGCATGTGGATATCGAAGCTGAAAAAAAAAAAAAACATTAAAGTGGGCCATGAAACAATTATATGAAAATTTTAGAACAAATTCCAATTTTTCCTTATACATACATCGCTTACTAAGTGCTGTTTTTCCATATCATATATCAAGTTTTGTAAGTTGATACGTAGGAATCTAACTGCAATTCAAAATAGGTAGTGTAAAGTGTCAATGCTCCACTGCATACATTACATGAAAAAAAAAATAGAAATCAATTTTCTTTTCTCGTGAAAAATAATATATAAAACTTTATTAATTCCACGATTACCTTGATATTTATGTCACCACCGTTTGCCCAATCTTGTGTACAGTTTGCATC